GCCCGGGAGCTGCTGGGCACCGCTCCTCCTCAGCTCGGCGTCTTGGAAACCACCCCGGCAATCGCGTGTCCTGCTACGGGAAGAGCCCGGCTGTCCCGGAGGGGCATTTCCTCCCCACCGCGCAAAATAAAGGAGAACGGGGAGGGCAGGGAAAGGAAGGGCCTATCCTAGAGCTCAGGAGCGAGTTCATAAGCCCGGAACGAGGCAAAACCGAACAAAAACCGCGTCCTTTGCTGCCTCCCGAGCTTGCAGGAAACGCGACCTTCTGAGAAACGTTAGAAGCGTTCTAGTCTAAAGAATATATATATATATATATGTATATACACATATTTACACACACACGCACACGCTTATAGGTCGGCGGGCGCTGCTCGCACCTCGCTTCCCTCACACCTCTCCCCGGGGCGAGCGGAGCCTCCCTGGGCCCCACATAAATAGGAACTTTCTGGTTTATAATCAGCCTTTTCCTTCGGATTCAGTACGTGCACGAAGGGAGGTAGCCGAACGCTGGATGGACTCAGTCACAGGGAGCTGGGGATAGGAGGGAAGAGCCAAGTGCCCCCCGGAAGGTTAACGAAAAGAAATGCCCGAGAAATCCTAGAAAGCGGATGAAATTGTTTAAACTTATTCTAAATACCGTCTGCGTGCAGGAAAAGTGACGGTTTCATTCAGGCGCAAAACCTTTTTTTTTTTTTTTTCCCCTCGTATGGATTTATGGACGTATTTTCCATTGTCACGGTTATTATTACAAATGCTCTCAAATAAGGAAACAAGCAGCGAAGTTATCGCTTCCTAAGGGATGAAGAACACGTAAAGTGATGAAGAACACCTTAAATGACGAAGAATACATAACCGGTTGCAGTTTACTTGTTATCCCACCGCTCCTGACGACGCACAGACACCTCTGAAACGGTCGAGGGCCCCTTTCCTGCCCTCCCCTTTAGGTTTACCCCGCGCTCAGCGCGATCTTACTGTCAAAGAGGAAAGTGGCTGGAAAATGCTCCTTTTTTATTTTTGCCCTTGGAGCAATTCTATCCTCTCAGATAACCTATCCAGGAAAGAGGAGGAAAAAAGAGGAAAAAAAAAAAACACGCCCAAACTAAATAGGTAAAGGAAACGCAAGTATGAAAACGAAAATTTCGTTTTCCAACAGCCCTGGGCGACAAGTACTAATTTATTGCGACTTTCCACTACGCACTGGCCAAGGAGAGTAACTTACTTAAACGACAGCAATTTTTATTTTTTTTTCTTGATTAATTTGCAATATATTTGTAAAATGATCTTAAGGCAGCTGTCTCTGCTTGAATCTGTTTCAAAAGTGTGATGTAAATAGTGTCTCACACTGTTCTGCAGCCTATTAGGGCTTTCTGGTAGGTGATACGACTGGGAGTCAGGACACCACACGTTTATTTTTAAGATCATCATCATCACGACTGATAAGACTTACGGGAAGGAGTGATCGTACTTCCTACGTGCATGTATCAATGACAAAACACGGAAAACAACTTAAAAAGATGGAAGGCTGTATAGAAAGCAGGTAGAATTTACGGCATTTTCAAGAGCAGTCTCAGCTAAATTTAAAGGGAATAGCAGATTATCGAAATAAATCACCCTTTTTCACCCTTTTCATTTCTCCTTTCTACAAGGGCTAAGGATCACTATCCATATCTTATTAATAAGATAAACAGGCACACATCACGAGTAATTTAGCATGGAATTATTGTCAAGCAAAGGGAAGCGGGTACACAATCCACCTGGGATTGGCTAAGGTTGGATTTTTCAGCAGTTAAGCAGGATTTCTGATCTTCACTCAGTACATCAGTATTTTAGATCAGTGCTAGATAAGAACTAACGAGAATAAACGTACCTAAGCGAAGTTCTGGTTTTTATCCCCGCTGGACTCGTTGCCCACACACTCACTTGGCAGCAGCAGCCACAGTTTACATTTAATTTGTACATGCAATATAGCACTGAAACCCACGAGTCAACGAATACAGGCTCAAAGCTTTATTTGACTGCAACATATTATACCAATTGATTATAGCTCTTGAGCAAACCATATGACAGTAATAAAGTAAAACTTTGACAAATACGGTAAAACAGCTTGGGGTGATATTTAAGGTAAAGTTGTACCTGGTCTAAACTGTTAAGATATAACGAAAATTACCACTGTGGAGTAACCGGTGCTTTCAGAAGTAACCTCTAAAACTATTTCCTATTTCAAATTCTGTTTTCTTATTTTTCAGTACTCACCAGCTCAAACTGAGCTTTACTTCGAAATCTACATCCCGAGCTGCATTGTGTGATTAAAAAAAGCAGAAATAAAGAACTATAAACTCAAATTAAAATCAAACACCCGACTTTTAGGAAAAGATGACCCTGAATAAATACGATCAAGACGATATTGTAATAAATGTTAAATTTAAGGAGCGCTCTAAACCCTTTTGTTATTTCAGAACTCAAATGAAGTTAGTAGGCTTGAGAAAGATTTTTTTTGGAGGAAGAATTCCTTATCCTAGGCAAAACTAGCATGCCTTCTGCTCCTACCCCCACAGCCAGAATAACTGAGAAAGTAAAAATCTCAGCATCGAGATGCTGGAAGGGACAGGATGGGTGAGCAGGCTGTGCTCCTAGGCTGCTACATGGGTTACTCGTATGCACATGAACTGACACGAGGGCGATTTAGCATTGATTATAAAATACTCAAATATTAACTTGCAAACAGGCCAAAAAAAAAAAAAAAAAAGTATTTGTTAACCGTACTGGTCTTCCCAATTGCTTTTCCCCACCCACCAGAGAAGGGAGGCAATAGGCTCTTAGGGCAATTGCAGCTTATTTATACATACGTAGTAGCACAAAAGGGCAAGTAGTTAGTCGAGAGTGCAGCGTAACAGGTTATGTTCTGAGTGAAGAAGAAAAAAAGAAGGTAGGAATCTACATAAGCTTAAAAAAAGTAAAATGTCTGGGGGGAAAACTATGTAGAATCAATATGCTTGAAAAAACAGCCTTGATTCGATAAAGTGTTGCTATTCTGAGTCTCATTTAAACCCACAATTCGATTACATCGGTATCATCAGTTTTGATTTTTTTGTGTGTATGTTTTTGTGCTTTTTTGGTCTTTGTTCGTTTTTTTTTTTTTAAACATCCTTCAGTTTAAACAACCTGAGTATATGGTACCTGTATCTAAGAACAAGCAAGATGTGAGCTAAGTCAAGCTTGACAAAACCTGAGCGCTTGCAAGGGCAGGGGTAGAGTGCTAGGAGACACCTGGGGACACCCCACAAGCCACGCGGCTCCCCACTGCACTGGCCTGCTCTGCGCCTCCCTGCCCAGCTGCTCTGCTGTGTCACCCTCACATGCAATTGCATTTATTCATATCAGACCACAGGTCAGTCTAAAGGCCCTTGTCTTTCTGCAAGTGATCACCTAGATCACTCCCAGCACCTCCTTTTTTGGGGGGGGAGGGGGAAAAGAACAGACGGCATATTCCTATATATATATATACACACATGTATATATATATATATGTATTCATGCACTAGCTGTCCTCTTACTTCTAAAGCTATGCCCCAGGTTCCATAAAATTTCCTTCTTTGAGAAAGAATTTCCTTCTTTCACCTCTGAGGTCTTAGTCCTCAGCATTTTTGTCCATTTTATCGTAAAACTTGCAAACACTATAACAGAGCACCTAATAATATTTAGTATAGCTATGCTCCATGCATGTTTACGAACAAGGGAAGTGTTCTTATCTTTTCGCAGTGAAAAAAAAAAAAAAAAAAACCAACATATAGAACTGCGGGTGCATCCTACAAAACTCTCGATCCATCCAGCTGCCACCCCTTTACAGTCCACACACCCGGCTTTCCCTCCAGAGGAAATTCCAAGGACGGAGATGGGAGCACCAGCACTGGGTCCTGGTGTTTAGGTGGAGTCCAAGGAGCTAAAGACCCAGACTATTCACACACACAAAGTACTTAAGGGCCCAGATTTTCCTTAGGATGCAAAGACCAGGATGAATCCATCTTTGTAAGCAACTAACTGCTCACCCATCCCTCCATTTTGGTCCTTTAATTTCCTTAGTGTCTTCCTGTGTAATAGCTTTTCCCTTACATTTTCAACTGTTTCCAATTATTTGTCTTTTTTTTTTAAATTTGGAGCGCTGTAGAAAACACACACACACCAATTCCTGCTAAACCAGAGAGAACAGCACATTGTGATCTTACAGAAGAAAATATTACCAACTTGTCTTTGTGACAGAACAGTGAGTAGGTATAAAAACGCAATAGTCTCTCTATGCCATTTTTTTAAGATCTCTGCCTGTAAAATGAAAGCCTAATTTGATATTTTTTGTAGTTATGTAACAGTTCTAATATTTTGTGACATTTTGTATTGTGACACTATAGATGAAATTGTCATCGGACTGACACCCTTTACTGTTTATTCCTTAATTACAACTGTTAACAACACTGCAGAGAAGCGTGCTAATCTGCCATCACATATTATGAAAACAACGTTATTGTTACAAACACCAACACCCACTCAACAGGATATTTCTAAGATGGCAGTTTCTGTTAAAACTTATCAGTTTAACGGACACTTCAATAGAAAAAAAAGTTTCAAGTGAACTCTTCACTTCCCCCTGGAAAACATAAAACAATTTGTAATTGCAGCTGAAGTGCTTTGTTTTATTTTGTTCGTTTGTTTTTCATGCCAGAGAATTTTCAGCTAATTTTAATCCAGACAAACCCAGTGTTTGATTTTAGAGAGAATAGTCTCTGCAGATGCTGCTTCTTCAAGATTATCTAGTCCTCCTATAACTTCCAGGTGTAAATTGTTTGCCTAATTCTACCTGGACTATGAACTCTCTCAACAGTTCTCGACAAAGAATTAAATTAGGATAATTAATTAAATACACACTTCGCAATGCACAATTCTCAAACCGCCCTTTCAAACAAAACATTTTGCAGGAGTTAGCGCCAAAGCAATCAGGGCATTTACAAGAAATGTGCTAAAAAGCACCAGATTCAATAAAAAGAGTTAAAACATCCCTACTACATAGTTATGCAAATTATTTTGTAACACAGATGTGCACGCACCATTTCTCTAATGGCTCAGCAAAATCAGTACTTATTACGTTTTCATATTCTCAGGTGTTGGCAGAGCCACATTTTTTCTCTTCTAGGTCAGAGGGGTGGAAGAATGATGTCATACATGCCATTTAATTGTAATATCTTTCATCAATCAAATCCTAATATCATGTTCTTAATTAAAAATAAATAAATAAAAAGATTGCTTTCTATGTTTTCCTTGCTTTAGAAGGGTGAAATTTAAGGCCAAGTCACACACTGGGAAAGATATTCTACTGAACTGTTATTTTCAAAAGCAGTAAGTATTAGAGTAGTAGAAGGAACAAACGACTTGCACAAAGTGTTAAGCAAAAGATTTCACTTAGTTTTGTCAACATAAAGAATACAGCACTAAGGACAGCCTAAAAGAAATAAAAAAGAAAAAAAAAAAGAAAAACCCTAGAGACTTGTTTACTTTTTTTTTGTCTTTTCCAGTCCATTAGACAGGAAATACAAAGCAGGCAGCACGGCGGGGAAAGGCAGCAGTAGTTCCTGGAGCAAAGGGTAGAAGCAAAGCAAGTAGCAATGACAAATCAGGGAAAGCAAGAGGTGGACATTCGAGGTGCTTATTGTATTGCTGCTATCACTAAGGTTCGTGCACAGGTTCTCAGTTCTAAGACAAAGCTACTCTGTCTGATGTAATCTGCTTGCCTTTCCTGTTAAGGATAAATTCTTCCCTTCTCCCTCATCCACAAAGACATTTGCAGCATTCATGACAACGAGGAAAGAGAGCACATGAATCTACTAACATGTAAAAGCAGAAGATTCAAAAAAGAAACCCCTGAAACTCTTCTCATACTGAAGAAGCAATTGCCTTGTTGGGTTGCCATGCACCAGAACTCCACTTCTGATCCTAAAAGCCCGTTTGAACCAGAGTGAAAGCAAACTATCTAGTATGGATAATTTTCATTTAATGATTTACATTACAATTTAACAACATGATATTCTGTTGCCTGATTTGCATGATATGGCTTGCTTAAGTCAGAAAAGAGGAAACAAACCCAGAATGTTTATTTTTGTGACTCTTCTTCTGGGGAGCTTATGTTCTGTTTTGTAGATTTCATTTTCTTAAAACCAATAGGAGACTCTGCTCTTCCTAAAAGAAAATGTTCCCACTTGGGAAGAGATTCTTCTACTGACGCCCAGTAAAGAGTCTGAGAAAGCACAAAAAAATCATTTTAAATTTAATTTCAAAATTCTCATCAGCTTGTTATAAGAACAATACAGTTATGTAATGTGTTATTAATCTTGCTTTATGAGTGAAGCAATTCAGAAAAGATCTAAGCACTTGCATAAGAAATTTCAAATCTCTCATATCTTACAGAAAAGCAGACTGGAAGCATTTCATTCTATGCTGTGAAGTGACTGAATGTGCCCTCTTGTGGTAAGCAACAGATTTGTTAGACAGTGCCTTTAACAGGATAGTTTATAATGATAAAATTTTCCCAAACCAGCCTTTATACTTAAAAAAAAAAAAAAAAAAAAAAAACACACTTCCTTCAGTGGAATTTAATTTTGCAACAAAAAAAAATAGTTTGCGTAATGTTTAAAAATGTTTTGTATTTTTTGTCCTAGAAAAGCATTAATACAGTTCAAAGCATTTGTGACATTTTACAAGTCTTTTTTTTTCCTTCCTTTTTTTTTTCTTTTTCTTTTACTGCTGGCAAAATAAGTGATTTTAATTTTGGTGTCAGGAAGGGTCAAAAAAAAAGAAGACCCAAACCTATCTATAAACTTACCTCATGGTCTAAGAAATACATTCTGGGCTACCTAATCCTTTCTCTTGATTGCTCCATATCTTTGAGCAATAGATTTAACTTCTGTTTTATCTGTAGAATGGACAACTATTCATCATTTTTGTGCTAGTATTTTGAGGATAACATTTTTCATAGGACTTTGAGAAACAGATACTCATGTATTTTTTTTTTCTTCCACAAAATGCTGTGACAGAGAGCTGGATTAAACCAACAGTTAAATCCATCCAGCAGCCTAAATATCTTTAGATATTGGGGAAAAAAAAAGCATTTATTCAGAAAATAACAAAACAAAACATTTTTGTAGCAGGAAGCTTCAGTTGTACAGTTGTAGCAGTACAGATGCATTAAGGTTTTTTTGTATACTTGTTTTAAGTACATAATACAGAAGCATATCACAAACTGAACATTTCATCCGAGAGTATAAGATTCCTGGCTAAGCATTTTGATCCTCACTTGTAACTCAGATATATCTATGGCTCTTACAGTTTTACAAAAATATTTTCTTCAACAGATTTACTCAAAGAATCTTTTTTGACAAGCATATGTGCTGTCATACAAAACTACTCTGACTTAGCAAGCTGGGGATCCATTATAGGCTTAACTTTCAAACTATATTAATACAGATACATACAGGGTTGAGTGAAATATGCTCAGAAGTGTTTTGGAACAAAGTATGCACAAGAATTTTGTACCATGAAAGAACATTTTTCTTCTTCCACTATTTACAGTACTCTCTTAAAAATATAAAAAAGCCTGAAATAGGATCTTCAAATAGTAACTCCATTCTCTCTAAAACTCCACTACTGCTGCAGGGTCTAACAGGTCTCCACCTACAAGCACTTGCTCCATATTCTCCAATTTGTATGGACTTCAGTCTACATCCCTTAAGCAGTTTAGACATGTAACACAGGACAGAGAAAAGAATCAAAATTCCTAAGTCCAAAACTGATCCAAAAAACTCTCAAGGTATCTTCAAAGCATTCCAGGAGCCTAAAACTCTACTTCTTAACACAGTGAAAATAGATTCAACCTTCGTAGCTTGGCATACTTCTCAGTATCATCCAAGATGTATGGGTATCTAGAAAAAAATGTACCCTTTTGCCTAAAAAAACCTCTATAAACCCACTGAATTGGCATTCTCAGCAAGCATTCTGTCACAGATAGGAATAGGCTACTTAAAAATGTAATCGTGGCCAAAATCTTTTAACAGTAACTAAAAAAGTGATGCCTTTCATGTAAGTAACAGCCTAAGGATTAGGACATTTGCTCTGTAGGTATGGAAGTAATGTGCAGCACCTCTCTCTTCACAGCTTGGCAAGGCTGAATCCCATATCTTTCTCCTCCTTTGGCATCACCCTAACGCCCAGACCAGCATGGGACACTGCTTTACCCATGAAAACAAGACTACTGTGGCCCAATTCCTGCTCCTACAACTGCCTTTTTCTTTTTCCTTTTCTCTTTCGTTTTTTTTTTTTTCCTGTATTCATCATTCATTTATCTTCAAATATCTTTGGAAAACAGTGCTGAGATTAGGACTGTAGGGTGTGTTGTACTAGGACAATCCTTATTTCCCAGCCTAACTTGTACAAAAATTGTATCTTTAAATAATGCTTTAGAAAGCACGGGTTGAGAAGTAAATCAAGTGCTACTGCTGTAGCAGTACTTTTCCCAAGTTCCCATACAACCTGATAAAAGAACTCTGAGAAGTGAGAACTTCTCCATTCATACTGATAAACCGTTGACTCTGAAATGCAGAGATGACAATCTATGGCAAACTTCAAAGAGGATGGCCATACAAAATAAACCAAATGGCCATGGAAGAACAAGCCCAGTAATCTTGATTTTTTTACAATATTTTTATATTTTATTCTATTTTTAAATAGAAGTTGGTATAGATTTGAAAGCTGCTAAATATTTCCACCTGAGTGCTCCAGAATCTAGGGACCTTGCCCCAGAATTTAGGTTCAGCTTGCAGTACATCAGCCTTTGGCTATACCAGTCACTGGATTTTAAAATCAATTATTTTCACTTTAAGAACATGCTTCAAGGGAAAAAAAAGCAAAATATTTGGTAAACAGTAAATGAAAAGATAGAGTTCTAGTAAAAAGCATTCGAATAGTAACACTGTAAGTTTGCATCTTTCTGTTTAGTAATATGCTACTGTTTCTAGAGATGTTTTGTGTATATTTTTGATGTAAGAATAAATTTCATTGTCATGTAATACTGCTGCTGCAACACAACACTATCCTCTGTGGGCACTAGGGTAAATTACATTCAGACTCTGCTCTCTATGATTTATGAAAATAAGGTGGGGGGAATAGAATGGTTTTCTCTGTGCTGCATGCAAACTGAAGTATGTATTCTAGATACTGTAACTGTAAAGTAACTAGGCAAATTATGTGCAAGATCTTTACTCCTCAAGACAAAGATGACTTGCTAATATGCATGCATAACATGTGCACAAAAATGTAGAGCTGCAGCAAGCTGTTCACCAGACAAACTTGGATGACAATGCATCTCACATAGCTTTCTTATAGAAATCAGTATTTGGGTTCTACTTGTCCAGTAGATATGTAGATATATGCTGGAGGCACAGAGGCCTAAATACACTCTTTTTTTTTTCCCCCTTCCCAAAACAAATGAACAAAAAAAAGCCAAACCAAAACATCGCCCCAAATCAGCTGCCCCCCCCCTTTAAAGTTCTGACCCATTCTTGTGGGCTTAGTTCCATACCCAAACATTGAAGAGATTGAGTGGTGGGCAGATGAAGAGAGACAGAAAGGGACGTGGGAGTGGGGTGTGAAGAAGCCAAAGCTGAACAGAGTGGAGGGGGAAAGAAAGTATAGCAGATGGCAGAGTTGGGAGCAGAGAGCGGGTGTGAAGAGTACAACAGAAAAACTAAATGAGAGAGGAAATTCCCCAAAGGGACTTCCCAAATATTCACCACCACTGCTGCTGAAGAGTGAGATTCTGTAGGAGCATATCCACAAGAGAGACCAAACATGATTACTCGTATTGAATAATAGCCAATCTGAACACACATCGATAAGTAAGCAACGCTCAGCTCAACTTCAGTTCAAAAAATACAGCTCAAAATTAGTAGAGTATGATTAATAAAAGCAGAACCCAGCCTAACTATTAGCTGGAGATTCAACTCCAATAGAGATACCATTGGTTCACACAAACTACCACGTTCATTTTAACTATTCATTAATTTCTTTTACAGTATGTCTATTCTCTTGCACATAATTACAAACTTTATCTAAGAAAAAACATTTCTCCCTTTTCTGCAGTAAAATGCATAGTGTTGTAGGAGAAAGAGCCAACTAATTCTCAGATTTATCCAGATCCCAGGAAGCAGCAAGTGGTTGCCTATTTAAGAAGAAAGAAGAAAAAAAAGTCACAAGGGATAAGTTCTGGGGAGAATAAGAGCAAAAATGGAAGCCATTTGAAGACACAATGTCAAAGTAACAGAGGACATAATGCAGACTTAACAACAGACTAAGCAACAAAGTTTTCTGCATATGTCTTTAGAACAGATATGCCATAAATAGCACCACATGAAGCTCATCATCAGTATGGTTCAGAACGAATTTGGAGAAGATATCACCATACAGAAAATGAGGGATCAATCACTAATGTTTCTCCCATTTTCTTTCATGGGATATTCCACTTTCCTGACTCCTTTTTCCTAATTCCTGTAGGAATTTTCACAGTATATACTCACTCAAGTCACTGGGATGTTTACGATGACAGGAAATGAATGTCTTTTGGGCAAGAAGAGACAGCAGTTGTGCATATATGTTTAGCAGAGAAGGTCACTTTGGCATAGCCTAGATATTGGATGTGTCTTTTTGTTGCTCACTCTGGTTTTTATGTTGTGCAGTCTATTGTCATTCAGAATACTGATTTAATGACAGACAGTGAAAGAAATTTTAGCTGGAAGGTGCAGTATGCTTTAGAAAATAACTGAAGCTGCTGAAAGGTTAGATGGCACCTCTTGCATGTCTATACAACTACTTAACTTTAGGAAAAAAAATCCTGTCGTCTATATAGAAATAAGTGTCACCAGTGTAAACTTCTCCAGAAAAATAAATAAATAAATAAACCAATAAAGCTAATATGTCATAGTATTGAAAAATAAAAGTATCACTTCCTCTAAAACTACAAGTTCAAGAAGAGAAACAATTCAAGATCCTTTACCAGAGGTAAAACGGAATTCAGGACACATGCATCACTTATTGGGGACCAAATTCAACTGTCACTTACATTGCTATCAATTTGGCAAAGCCCTTCTTTTAGAATTACATCCGTATAAAGGGAAGCAGATCTGGTCTGAATTAACTAGTAAATACTAAGAACTACACACCATATTCTTTATATTCTATGTCTGTTATAAGCTGTTGCACAAGATACAAGAATTATTATGAGCAAATTCACCAAATTAGATTGCACATACCAAGCTAATTCTTGTTTCATGGTCAGAACATTATATAACTGCCAAATAATATATTCTTTTAAAAACAGCTTTCTCTAATCTGCAATATTTCACTAAAAATATCATGGAAAATACTCTCATAATTTTATGAAAATGTGGAATAAGTGCTTCTTATAATGCTATAATTTCATTTTTTAAAAGTGTGTTTCCTGTCTTCCTATTGATTTGAAAATACCCCCCAAAAAGCTTTGCATAAACACCAACTATAACAGATAAAATAAATGTCTTTTTCTACAAGCACATACTGAAATCAACTGATTTTGCTTAAATGCTGGAAAACAGAAATGCAAATAAAAAAATAACACTTCATCATGTCCATGTATTTTTGAGTAGGCCAAATCAACAACTCTCCACATGGTAACTGTGAAATGTACAGTGTCTGGTATCAGTAACAATATTCTGAAGCTGGCACATTAATCAGTCTTGTTTTCATGCTTCTCATATATTATTCCACAAAGATTTTTTTCCCTGCTTTATTCTGCTATCAGAAAGCATCTGCAGGAGTGCCTGTCTGTTAAAACTAGTATAAAATTAATAGATTTAAACTGATTTATGCTGCTTTATCCTGCAACAGAATTTGTTTTGATACATATGTTTTTGGTTTTTTTCTACAAACACCAACATTTTTGACACTTGAAAAGAACAATTTTGAGGATGTGACAGTAGATGGCAAATATCTGTGTAACTGCAAAAATATTTACACTCTCTGTATATGTCTGAGCTATTGTTAACATTCCCAATACAAGAAGCTTTCAGCATGCAGGACTCTATCCTGCATTTATTAAATTTGCCTGTGTTAACTTAGAATGCATCTATAAAATACACTTTATAAAATACATATTATTTATAAAATGCGTATTTATGAAATACAATTTTAGTATAATTTTGAAAAAGGAATATGGAAAAGTGCGAGTCATAATACGTGAAATTACTAAATGAGTAGAGCACAAACTACGGAAAAAAAATAAGTAAACAGGCCCCCACTCCTCCCCAATCTCCCAGTAAACAACTATACTTGTATACAATTTCCAGGAGTTCAAGTTGGAGAAATCTTCTATGCCACATAACGATTAAGAAGGCACCTCTAATCAACTGTTCTGTCTTCTCTGCTGTTCCCTAAACAGCTTCTATACAAATACAGTGAGGACACACATCAGATTTATATACACCCAAAACGTGAATGCTTTTAATCTTGGCCAAGCTTAACCTAGAGACAAAACTTCTTAACAATACACATTAATCTTTACATTTTCTAGAGTAAAAATGATGGCTTCAAGGAAACGTATTAGAAGCTATACAAAATCTTAAGTAAGAGTTTAAGACAGTGCTTACAAAAGGTGCTGTTTTTTGCTGTTTCCTGAACAGACCACCTTTTTTTAGACATGCATTGACTTTAGTGGTCAAGTGCAATCACTTCAAAATCAGATGCCTAAGATTGGTGTCCTCAAAGAGGTTTTATTGTTCCCTGCAGACAAACCTAGATTTTTTTTTCCATTACCAGCCCTCAAATTTCTGTTGAATTTACCCAGGAAACACAAATTATACCTGAATATGACAACAGATATCTAGTACAGCGATTATCATAACTGTCTCACATTTTAGAAAGAACAAGGAACGCCAAACGCTGCTTTTGCAGACTTGCAAGAAAGGGTCTCAAAGTCACTCTACACCTCCTTAAGGAAAAATATCAAATTGAAAAGTTCTTCCAAAACTTCACATGACGACAGACGGAAAATAATTCCCACCATGGATTAAAAGCATTAGAGATTGGTCAGCCCCTATTCCCAGCCATATCTTCCTGTCTTGAATCAAAGGGTAAAGGTTCTTTGAGCCTTGTCAGACTCTGAAGTTCTCTCAAGCAGACATGCAATGGCATGTGTTACAGCTCTGCATGTACTTTGAGAAAAGAAAAAAAGATAGTAGCAGCTGCCACCACGAGGCTCATGAAAGAAGGGAATGTAAAAAAGGTAGTGATGCCATCAGATAATAAAGACTTGTCATTTAATACTGTGTGTCAAGTTCCAGAAGCATGAATTGGATATAGTGGAATTCAAACAGTAACTAGAGAGCAAACACTTAGGGGGGGAAAAAAATCTAAGCTACATAACCATGACATTTCAGTGAGGTTCCTCTAGTTGCAGAAACTTACATTTAGGAGTGCTGCATTCCTTTTATGAGCTGCATCAGCTGCTTGAGTTTGCCATGTCTTTTTAGTCTTTTTGTCTCCCAGATAAGTCTCCATCTGCTGTAGCAGCACTGATCTCTGAGAGAGTCTACAAAAGAAAACATTTCACTAAGTGGGTAGAACATTTTGCTCAGGAGCTAGAAAATAACCTTTTTACCTTACCCCGTTCTCTTCAAAACTAGGGGGCTAATTAAGCCGGCTGCAGGGTGGGTGTGCTGGGGGAGGGAAGAGGTACAGGCAGACACCACCTGCTGAGCTCCTATGAGTTCTAGTGTTGCAGCCAGCAGCCCTCATATGCTAAGGTGCTTGGAAGCACATAATACCCCAGAACAGGAAAGATAGGGTGGGTAGGGGTGACTTGATCAGCGCTCCTCTTGCTCACTGGCAAGTACTATTTGTTACCAGAAAAGCAGATTTTTCTGAGTCATTATTGTATATGCTCCACAGTCTGAGTTTACAGGGCAACACAGAAGCGATTCCGTAACTGAGTTTAGAGTGGCAGAATCCAATTATCTTCCCCAAATAGGAATTCAGGAGTGATAGCAGGTTAACAATAAAAGACATTAAGCACATCCCACTACCCGAAGTCTAAAAAAGCCCATCAAACTAACTGCCCCTACAAGGCAGTTGAGGGTGATAAGTCCAACAGTTCACGAAGAAAGAGTGCCACCTCCTGGAACCAGCCCCTAGCTCAAGTACCACAGGGCTCTCCAAAATCCCCAGTTTCACTGTTTTTCGGGTCTGGCAGGCACATCTTGGGAGATGACACCACGACACAAAGTGCTGTGAGGTTCCTCAGCACTGAAACAGGGACTTACATCTCTTCATGTCGCCTAGCAAGGCAAACCTCTCGGGCCAGATACGATGTCATTTTCAGCTGTTCACCAGTTTTGCCACTCTGCAAAAGGGAAATCAAGTGAAATTAAAATCTTCTGAGCACATTTACAAACATCTAGTTTTCAATCTTAAAGAAATTCGTATGTTAAAAGTTTGCATGTATCATATTTATATAATTTGCTAGCTACCTCCTTAACAATCTGCTTGTGAATTTTAACACTCTCTGATAGACTGTTGCATTATACTTTGAATACAAAGGTGCTACTAACACAGCGAGTTTTAGGAAAACCTTGCTAATAATTTGAGGGAACCAAAACTTGATTTACAAGTTTCAGATCTGATGTAACTTCATGTCTCAGTTACTTACGAGTTGCACAAGTAAATTATGCACTTGCAGAACTTGTGCAGTACCATTTTCATCAGTGCTTTTGCCTCACATCATGGCACTCAAAACACCAACCACCTGTAGTTACTTTCTGCAGATGCAGGGCCCCATTCTTAGGGATCCATGCTTAAACACACATCCAATTATACTAAATAGCTGAAGTTATTAAGGCAGTTTCCTATTTTCTGAGCACTTGAAAAAACTAAGTGAAAATTTATTGAGCTCAACTGTTGAGTACTTAATTAATACAGTTTTACTTATATTTAACTATTTTTAACAAATCAACTGCAGACTCTACATGTGTACTGAAATTCTACAGTGCCTTCCAAGAAGCTTGAATTTTTTTCAGTCAGTTAACTTTCTCTGCCTCAGAAGTGACTGCATTATTACCACATAGGCAGAATCAAGCTAAATTAAATAAGCTACAACACTTTCATGATGTTGAAGAATGGGAGAGATAAAGTGCTTTACCCATCCAAAACATTAGTAAGGAGCTCCACAGGTATCTTAGGAGCGGGTTACTTGTACATGCAGCACGGCTAAGCACACTTGCTTAACCAGGGGTGTGTTTTTCATCAAATTGTGAAGAATTCTCCCCAGCCAGACCCCACCTAACACCGCCCAAGTCGGAGCCATCACCTCTGGGCTCTTCCCTCCGAGGAGATAACAGCGGCAAAAGGAAAGTGTGTTGTCCAGGGAGCCTCAAACCAACGCGGGGAGGCGGCCGGGGCCACCCCTCTCCCCTCAGGAGGCGGCGGCACGAGACGCCCCCCTCGAAACGGCAGGAAAGGGGCGGCCATTGTCGGGGGAGGTGTGAGCACGTGCCTGCCGCCTGGGGCGCACGCGGAGCCGCCCTTAGCCCTACCATTGCCAAGGGTGGGGGGGATCAAGGAATGTGCCATTCCGTGGAACCACTCCGTGCCGCAGAGAAAGTATAGAATAGAACATAAGAATTAATAGTAATAAAAATAATAAAACTTTACCTTCATTCTCTTTGCTTTAGAAAAGCGAGGCAACCACCCGCCATAACCTCCACGTCAATCTCCCTTCCTCCCCCCCGCTGCCATGGAGACGGCCGTAAAGGTAGCGCTCAGCCGTAGCCCCTGATTGGTCCCGTTTCGCCTCAGGAGGCGGAACCAGGCCGCGTCGGGAGGAGGCGCCGCCTGAGGCGGCGGCGCGCGGGCCTCGGGGAGGCCGAGCTGGATCTGGAGAGAATCGCGGCGTATTCGTGTTCTTCGGCCCAGCAAGCGTTACTGCGAGTTAGGGTGGTGCGATTTAGTCCTCTGTGACAGCAGCGTCTCCTCCAGGCTTTTAAAGTGGAAGAACTACTGAGGTTGTCTCAAAGTGCTTGTGTGCAAATATTTATCAAAAGGTGCTTTTTAAAAGGCATAGCTTAATCCTATTATTTCTTTCCCTGTATATATTTTGCTTTCACAAAAACCTTAAAAGACCTTAAGTCAAATGCAGTTGAAAAGCTCATCCCCTACATTTTCCTTTTAACATCCTCTTAAAACATTCTCTTATCCTAGTGGTTAAGGCATCCCATAACAAGCTCTTCTTACTGTAGATCAGAAGAGCCTCTTTCTTGTGATTCTTCAGGTCTTTATCTCTCTTCTGTTTTTATCATTCTCTGATTTTATATTTCTGCAATAAACTTACATGAATTCACTCTGTGACATAAGTAGGAATTCTTTAATGTACTTGTCAACCTGCTCCTTATTGCCACATTCAGGCTAAAGACTACTTAACTTAAAATGTTACCTCTGTGATTTGAAGACTTTTCAACAAGTGATAGGGGGGGAATAAGAGTGTCCTCATTTCTAATGGTGTGGAAAGCTAATGGTTACAGGCTGGAATGGAAAACGTAAGCGTGCTCTACTTTCAGCCCTGCCAATTGTCTTTAGTGGTAGTTATCCTCTCTTTTTTTTGTAGGTTTTAGTAATTTCAGAAGGCATACAGACAAACTGAAGTTTGGTTTACATAAGCCATGATATAAGTTGTTTTTAGTGAGAATGCAAGGACAGACTCAAGCTACAGATACTATCGATTGCTCAGTGCTGCAGCAGCAGGGATGGGATTGAAACCATAATTTCCTAATGAATACTTTATGTGACAGTGGATGAAACGCTCAATAGCTAATGACCATTGGCTTTTGAATTCAGTATTTTTCATCTGTATTTAATTTTTCAGTATTAATGTTCTTTCTCATTAGAAGTGCAATCTAACCTAGTTCCCTGCTCAACTTGTTGACAATATAAGCTTTAAAGTTTTTATAGAAAGAAAACTAAATGTGCATTAAGAATTTGCTGTTCGCACTGAAATGAGGATGCTCCGGCCCCAGATTTTTCTTGTCCCCACAATTCGATCTTTGAAAACTTGGGATAAAGGGGTGTTACAAGAGGAGTTGGTGAATTGCAACACTAGGTGGCACTTAAACACAGCTAACGAGGACTTAAATATTGCAACATGCAAAAACAGTCAAACACATTCTGTTCTAACATGCAGTTAATTACATCCTCAAAATGATGTCTTGGATTGATATTACTAAACAAACATGTATAAAATGTAATTACAGACAAGTGAAATAAATACTGTAGACTTATAATTGCAAGATATGTTTTTTGCTTGTAATATGCTACACACCTGTGCGCAGTTTATGTAGCTAGTATTTTATTTTGTCATTTTTAACTAACATTTACTGTGGCTCAGCTTAGGTTTATGTGCTTCTATTTACTGGTATCAATTTGTGCCATATGTCAGTTTTTAAAAATAGAATACTTTTATGTATTTGAATTTTAAAACGGGAGCATTTCAAAGGGAAAATAATAGGAGTGTACAAAATCACTTCAAAAACTTCTTAACGTGCATACATTTTAGATTGGTTTGCTCATCACATTTTCCTCCTATCTGCAGCAGAAGTAGTGGGCAGCTTTTCAGTCAGTATCCCGGGCCTGTATGAAGGTACAAATTAAAAAGACAAAAGCACGCAAGGAAATGTCCTCGCAATCAGTGAAGCTTCTAATGCAGAAAGTGCAAAAATTCCCTTCTAGTTCCTCGCTTTTCCCTCACCTTCCAATATTCAGAGAGTTGATCTCTACTTTAATGTTGGCAGGTCCCATACCATATTCTCTTCTTTCCACCTGGAAATGGGAGATCCATATTTTCTGCAAGGGGCTGGAAATGAAGATTGATGTTGCTGGGTATCTACCAGCCTGTGCAAAACAGGTTGGCTAAACCAGGGACACTTGATACAAATCTGGAAAAAGAGCTGGAAAACCTGTGAAATAGAAAGAGTAAAACTATGGATCAGGCCAGGGTCAACCATGCCTAACTTAAAAAAAAAAAAAAAAAAAGAGTGGTAGAAGGATATAAGGAAGAGGAAAATATTATTCCGTTATATTTCAAATAGAGATTTTAAAGCCTGATAAATAGGACGAAGCTAAGAACATGAGCATTCAGCTGCAAGTCTGCAATTTTGCTTTCTTTA